AGCTTATGTGGCTGGACATAGTGGCCTGGCCAGAAGGGAAGTGATGAAGGCTGAGTTAGGGCTGTGACAACAGAATGGACAGGAGGGGACTGGACCCAGGGATGTTGATTTCTGAGGCAGATTGGCAGCCCAAGTACTCCCTAAATCTGGGGGCATGGGAGAGCACAATCAGGAGCTCATCTGGGGCCTGACAAATGGCCAGAGCCCATGGTCCAGAGCAGAAACTGCCCATCAGACCTGGGAGGTGAGATGACTCCATGGGTGGTGATCACAGAGCCAGCTAGAGCTCAGAGAGAGGGACTGGGAGCAGCTCTGTGGTGTCCTTGTGGCCTAGAAGACCACACCGGGGACAGGAGAAGACAGGCACTCCCATTCTCTGGGGACCAGGAATCGGTGTGGTGGTTTGTGGCTGCCCAAAGGCTGTCTTTCCACACCTACAGGGGACAGGGAACAGCACCCATTTCACCTCACAAATGTGGAAGGGACTTCTGGTTAAGGGTTAGAGTGGCAGGGCTATCTTGGCTTTGGAGGCCTCTTGGAAGATGGTCCAGGGCCTAGGCACTGTCTGGTACAGCGATAAGGATGCTTTGGTGGTCAGGAATTCCAGCCTCCCTCCTCTCTACTTTCAGGGAGCCCTAGCTTGTTACCTGCTGGGGCTTTTTGATTGAGGCATAATGTCTGTGCGATGAAAGTCACCCTTCAAAAACATTTCAGTTTTGGACAACCATGTAGATTGTGTAATCCCTACCACCATGAAAACAGAGAACATTTCTGTTGCTGTGAGAACTTCCTTCAGGTCCCCATGTGATGAAGTCTCTTCCCTTCTCCCAAACCTGACACCCACTGATCTCTGCCTCTCCAGTGTTGCCTTTTCCCGAGTCACATGGATGGAATCACGCAGTAGGTGGCCTTTCATGTCTAGCTTCTTTCACTTAGCACACATTGGAGTCCTCCTCGTTGCTCTTTGATCCACACTTGTCCCCACATAGAGCAGTCACAGTGGAGACGCAGCACATTTTATTCATGGAAGCATATTTGAGCTGTTTCCAGTTTGGGGTGATTATGCATAATGCTGCTATACATTGCATGCAGGTTGTTGTTGGATGTATTTTCATCTCTTGGGGAAATGCCCAGACGTGTGAGTGCTTTGTGGTATAGGAGGCTTTTGACTGTAAGAAAATGCTGACATGTTCTGCACACTGGCTGCCCAGGCCATATCCCACCAGCAGAGGGCTGAGGACATTGTTTGCTTGTGTACATTTTGGAGGCATAGAATGCTTATCATAGAGGCAGCTTAACAGAATGCAGCCTGTCTCCCAGTGTGCCCCATGGCGGATTTTAGGTGACATATGGATGAGCTTTGGGGTAATGGGGTTTGAACTCAGGTCCTGGCGCTTGCTAGACAGACCCTCTACCACTTGAGCCATGCCCCCAGCCCTTTTTTGCTTTAGTTGTTTTTCAAGTAGGGTCTCATGTTCTTCCCAGAGGTCAGACTCAGACCAAGATCTTCCTACCTACGGCCTCCCGTGCACCACTGTGCCCATGTGTCTTACGTATACTGGTTTGTACGACCACGCATACGTGAATGCTTGCGTATGTGCACAACATAGGCTCCTGCTCATGGGGATTAAGGAGAAGGATGAGTGCTCCTTGCTGTGTTGCCAAACATTGGGATTGCCTCCATGTCTTCACAGGTGTGGTGTGTACCCACGAGTGGGTTTTATGGAGGACGCATGTGTGGGTGCACCTTGTGCCCCAGGACCAGGGTCCCCAGTGTCCGCCTCTTCCATCTGCTCTGCTGTCAGCCAGGGCATGGACCCTATGCTGTCCTCCCACTTCTCCCACCCAGCCTTGAGATTGGCAGGGGGTGTGTGCCCTGGGTCCTCCCTGTGGAGAGGAAGCCCTGGGGAGTGTCCCTCCAGGACCTGGACCTCTGGCCTCTGGGTGGCTCCACCAAATTTGCCTAGAGCCAGAGCTAGTCTTTGCTGGACTTTTGCCCAGGGCCCCAGGATCACAACAGAGATGGGTGGAAAGGAGAAGAGAGCTGAGGCCCTGCAGTGAGTACATGGGCTCTGGGTGGAGACTGGGGAAAGGGGACCCCAAAGGCCAGGCTCTAGCCAGCAGTTGAGCTCAGTGGGTTTTAAAAACCACCTTATCGGGCTGGTGGAAGTGGCTTAAGTGGTAGAGTTCTTGCTTAGCAAGAACGAGGCCCTGAGTTCCAGTCCCAGTACCGCAAAACAAAACAAAACAAAAACCAAGCAACCAGAATGCCTTATTACAGTACATGTGTAATATGATGAGTTTTAACATGTGTACATGCCTATGCTACCGTCCCCACAGTCACCCCCAAATGTTGCCTCATGCTTTCTGGTAATCCCTCCCTAGCTCCCCACTACTCCAGGCACCCATTTTCTGAGGCTTTTTTTTTTTGAGAAAGGATCTTGCTATGTAGCCCAGACTGGCCTTGAACTCATGACCTCAACCTCCCAAGTGCTGGGATTACAGGTGTGGACCACCATGCCCGCTTGCTTCATGGAATCTGAAAAAGATGAGACGAGGTGGAAGGAGATGAAGGATTGTGACGGGAGCCGGTTCTGCAGTTGTCCAGAGACTGTGGACTTTGTTATTAAATGATCTTATCACATCAGCATCATTATTTTATAATTTATCCATATCGTCGTTCCTATCTGCAGCTAGTTGCTTTTTTTTAAGGTGTATTTTAGTTTTGAATTAGCACACATTAGTAATACAAGGGGATTTCATTATGACAGTTCCACACATGTGCACCGTGTACCTTGAACAAGTGCACCCCTCATTATCTTCTTTTCCCCCTTTCCTCCTCCCACTCTTTGTGCGGTGGGTTTCACACTGTCTTTGTGTTGCATACTTTTCCACTGTAGAGACCTGCCTATCTTTCCACCTGGCAACTATTCTTTTTTCTTTATGCATTCATTTCTACTTAAGCAATGTGTATTGCCAGCAGGTATTTTTTGAAACCAAGACTCAAGCTGTGTCTGAGGTCAGCCTGAGCCCTTGGGCACTTTTTTCAAGCAGGATACCTCTAGCTCGTACCACCCTTTGCCCTTCACCCCAGTTGTACCCTTCCTGGGATGACCTCCTCTCTTCTACACTGTCCAGAGGCCACGCAGGAAAACTCCCAGACTGTCCTGGGGCTCTTCTGAGCGATTCCAGCCCTCCCGGCCTGATGGCTTTCAGAGCCCTTGCATCGTCCGTCAGGCAGTTCCAGAACATCTTGTCTCCTTGAAGAGAGCAAGGCGAGCCTTCCTCATGCCACTCCCACCTCTGGGGCCTGGCACACAGGAAGCTGCTCCAGAGAGGCCAGAGGACTTTGCACAGGGTTACACAGCCCTGGATGTGGAGCCCAGTGTCTGGGGCGTGCCAGAGAAAGAAGGAGCAAAGATGCAAAAAAGATGCAAAGTGATGCAAACCAAAGCCAGTGGCCTGAACAGAGGGCTTGGCCTCTGCCTTCCAGGACTCTGCTTTCCCTCCCCCTCCATCCCTGTCTGCATCTCTTTCCTCCCCCACGAACAGCATGGAAGGGGCTTGATGCTGACCGTGCCTCTCTGCGTTATTAAATTCCTTTCTCAGGGGACTAAAATTTGAAACGTCCCAGAAGGCTTCTGTCACATTGTGAGGTTTTCTACTCCTCCACCTCCTTCTTCCCTGTCCTCATGGCTCTCTTTCCTCAAGATGGCAAGATGGGAGTTGCCAGGCAAAGTGGAGCATTCCTGTAGTCCCAGCAACTTGGGAGGTGAAGGCAGGAGGCTCATGAGTATGAGGCCAGCCTGGGTAAAATTAGTGAGACTCTATTTCAAAAACAATACGCAAACAAAAGAGCCTGGGGGTTGGGGGTAGCTCAAGTAGCAGAGCACTTGCCTAGCACTCTTGAGGCCCTGGGTTTGACCCCCAATATTGAAAACAAACAAACAAATAAACAAAACCAAGTCCACTGCCTGTGGGACTGATGGGGCGCAGGTCCTGGGGAAGAAGGGGTGTCTTTAGTCCCCAGCCCATGTAGTAAGGATGCCCAGTTGTAGATGCTGGGGCAAAGGCCACTCACTGTGTCAAAGAAGGAAGTATCCTCCCGAAAGTCACAGCCAGTGGGTGACAGACAAGCCACCTGACACCTAGTCCTGCCCTCTTTCCTCTTCCTAGTCTGTCCTGGATGTCACGCTCATGTGTTTATGAAGCATCTGCTCCTCACCCAACCCTGCCCGTACTCTCTCCCTCTTTGGTAGAGCTGTCTGTGGTAGAAAGCACCGTGCCTTTGGCCAGTGCCCCAGATGCTACCAACACAGGTGGTGTAAAATAGGCTGAAGCTGGGGATGGGGGAAGGTGGCCCTGGGGGAGGCACGTGATGGGCATGGTGCCAGGGCTTATTGACCTGCAGTGGCCCCCATCCTGGCCTGCAGAGGCCCCCAGGGTTCCTCTATTGCAGCCCAGCCTCGCCAGCCCAGCCTCATCCTCTTCCCCTCCTCCGAGACTCTCCTGAGAAGCGACCTGCTTGTGGGTCCTCTTGGAGCCACCACTGTGTGCCATTTTGTATGATGACTTCCATCCCTTCTGAGACTACATGTATGTTTCATGTCTGTAGCTCCAGTGCCTAGGGCAAAGCTTGCTTTTCAGTAGCTATGCAATGAATCTTGAATAAGGTTAAAGGATGAATAAATGATGGTGGTGGTGACAGCGAATGGTGGTGGACGGTGGTGGTGGTGGTGACTTGTCACAGTGGGTGATGGTGAGAGGTGGTGGTGGTGGTAAGCACAAGTGGAAAGGAGGAGAGGGTAGATGGTGGTGGATAACAAAGCAGTAAAGGCAGATAGTGACTGGGGAGATGACAATGGGTATAGCAGGAGAGGATGTTGGTAACAGCTGGCTGTGGTGGAGGGTGGCACGTCTGCTTCTGCCCTTCCCTAGGGACCCTGCTGAGGCTCTTGGTCCTATGAAGTTCTCTGACTCTGTGGCTTGTTCCTTTGCAGACTCCATTGGGGGCCCCTTCCCCGTCGCCTCTCACCGATGCCACCACAAACAGAAGCACTGCCCCCCAGTGCTGTCCAGCGGGGGGCTCCCGACCACGCCACTGCTCTTCCACCCCCACACCAAGGGCTCCCAGATCCTCATGGACCTCAGCCACAAGGCTGTCAAGAGGCAGGCCAGTTTCTGCAACGCCATCACCTTCAGCAACCGCCCGGTGCTCATCTATGAGCAAGTTAGGCTGAAGGTGGGTCTCCTGGAACCCTCACCCGGCCTCTGGCCTCCCCCACAGCCTGGGCCTGCTGCCCCTGCCTTTAGCACCTAGGCCTCTTCTTTCCTTTCCACTGCTACCCTTCCCCTGTCCTTATTCTTGTCCCAGTCTTCCTATTCAATAAAGGCCACATTGACTCTCACCAGCCCATGGGAAGGCCCCCAGGGGAGGGAAGGACCTGAATGTGGGGTGAGCTGGCCCAGGACAGCCCCCTGAGAGTCTGCTGAGGGTGATCTGGAGAGTAGGGCATCTTCCCGTCCCTCTGGTCTGTCTGACCAAGGGGGAGCTGCTGGACTGAGGCCACCCCCTGCCACCAGATCACCAAGAAGCAGTGCTGCTGGAGCGGGGCCCTGCGGCTGGGCTTCACAAGCAAGGACCCGTCCTGCATCCACCCGGACTCGCTGCCCAAGTATGCCTGCCCTGACCTGGTGTCCCAGAGTGGCTTCTGGGCCAAGGCCCTGCCTGAGGAGTACGCCAGTGAAGGTAACATCATCGCTTTCTGGGTGGACAAGAAAGGTCGAGTCTTCTACCGCATCAACGACTCGGCTGTCATGCTCTTCTTCAACGGAGTCCGCGCGACTGACCCACTCTGGGCCCTGGTGGACGTTTATGGCCTCACTCGGGGCGTCCAGCTGCTGGGTGAGTGCCACCTCCTCTGGTTCCTTCAGTGCAGGGCACTTTCCAGGCACTGGACCTGATACTGCCCGTCAGGTGTGGGCCCTTAGTCTCAAGGCTAAGGGAGTCAGGGGCAGCCCCGGGGGTCCTCATGGGAACTGCAGAGAGCTCTTTTCTCCCAGCTGCAGCTTTGGCTAGTGGAGCCTTGGTGATATTTTGACCCTTGCAGCCCCTCAGGTTGGCCTGTCAGTAGGACACAACTTTCACCATCAGAAATGGCAGCCTCAAACCCCAGGCCTGGAGTCCTTAATCGCAGTAGCACTGTTTGTGGAGGGCTTTCTACAGGCTAGCACTTCATTATTGCCTGTTCTAATAGCAATCCTGGGAAGCCAACTCTGTTATTGCCAGAGACTCAAGTTCAGGGAGGCTAAGTCCCGCAGTGGTGAGTGGTGCAGTCAGCTTTCAGTGCTGAGTCTGCGCAGCTCCAAAGCCAGCTCTTAGCCCTGGCCTGCAGCCTCCTTGGAGCCTGGCTCCAACCCTACCCTAGAGCTTTCTGCAGGGATGTTGGGTAAAAGAGATGGGAGCAGGGAGCGGAAGGCACTGGGTGTGTGTGTGTGTGGGGGGGGGTGTCGGCTAAGACCCTTGCAGCTGCTCCTAGCTACTGGGGGGTGGGGGGCAGAGATCAGGAGCACTGTGGTTTGAAGCCAGCCCTAGGCAAAATAGCTCTCGAGACATTATCTTGAAAATATCCAACACAAAAAGAAGGTGGCCTGGAATGTTAAGGGACATACATGGCAGCTGGAAGGAGCTTCAGAGAGCCTGACTTCTTAGTGTTCCACAGTGACTTTGAGGTGGGGCTAGAACCTAGTCCCTGGCTTCAGTACAGGATTTTCCCCACCTTGCGATACTTGTGCACATGTAGTCATGCACGCAGACTGTGGATACAGATCAGCCTGTTGGCAAACTGATTTTGTCAGAAGGCAGAGCCTGTCCAAGCCTCAGCTTCCTCATCTGTAAAATGAATCCATGAGAAGATTAAGTTAACGAGGCTGTGAGTGAAGTGTCCAGCTCTGTCCTGGGACTAAGTGTAAGTTCAACCAATGCTCATTCCTTCCATCTCCTATCCCTGGCCCCTTCCCCTTGCAGAGAAAAATGCCACCAAGGTGCTTGAAAACTTATTCCCCCTTCTTTTTGACTTCAGAGCCTAGAAACAGTGAAACTTTTCCTATCAAAACACTTTTATTTGAGTAAAAAGTCAGTGAAAGTAAAAACAAAGAAATGAAGTTTTTCTGTTTTTGAATTCCAAACACCAGGAGGCTGTTTTGATTAACTAACAGTTTGGGAACTTTCTGTTTTTCAAGTCAATAAAAGTGTTTCTGTATTCATGTTGACCTGTCCAGGGCCTGAAACGGGCTGTTCCTGGAGCCAGCCACATATGCAGGGTGCCCAGGCCAGCTGGGACAGGCTCTGTCCATCCCCTCTGTGTCCTGTCTGCACCTGCAGGGCCTCTACCTGCAGAAGTTTTATGCTGCAGAGATAGACAGACCCAGGTTGGAGCCTGGTCCCACCTGTGCCAGGCGCAGGACTCAGTTTCTTCTGTGCAATGGGGTGGTAATAACTGCTCTCAGGTTCTTTTGAAGTCTAGAAGGGTTGACTTAGGAGGAGTAGCTGACACACAGTAGGTGACCAGTGGCTGCCAGTCATCCCCACCTGCTGGCAGTGCTTAACCCAAAGTTCAAGTGAGTCTTTTCCCATTGTTCTGGTGTCCTCAGGGCCACACACTTCAAGGTAGTGGGGTCCCAAATCTTGAGTCTAAGCTCCAACTTGGCCATGCCTGTCTAACCTTAGCATTCTCATCTGTGAAGTGGTCATGAATCCTGAATTCCCCAGCCCTCTGCCACAGAGCGTGTCTGCTCTTGAGAAAGTCACAGTCTTGGGGGGGAAAAAGTCGAAGGAGGTGGAGCAACACTCTGGCTTGTCTCTAAGCAGAGTTCCCTTCCTCACTGTCCCCGCTCTGGCTTGAAGGTCCAGCTCAAAAGCTGTCTCCTTCCTGAGGCCTTCCCTGCAGAATTCTCTTCTCTAGCCTGTGTCTACCCCACAGTGTCTTTGCTTCTCGTAGTTTGGGGTCCTCAGTCTGTTCCCACAAGACTGGAGGGCTCCGAGGGAGGAAGCTATGTCCGTCCCAGCCTGGCCTGTGGGCAACGCTGCATGATGTTTGCAGGGTGGGAGGGAGAGTGGAGGACAGGAAGCTTGTTAGATGGAGGAAAGGGCAGGTGGGAGGGGGCTGAGGTGGACCAGACAGTCCCAAGCTTGCTGGGCAGTGAGGGAGGCGAAGCAGACACTCTGGACACAATGAGGGCACAACCCAGAGAGGGTAGTAAATTGCTAAGCAATGTGGTCATAGGATCCCTTCCATCTGCCGAGACACTTTCCGTCCGGTTAACTCACTTAACCTCGAGGCAACAGGCTTGGATGGGAGCATTTTTTATCCCCATTTGGCAGGGAGAAAACTGAGGCCCATGGAGGGCCTGGCCTGTCCATGTGGGGATGTGGCAGAACCGGGACTGTACTGGATGTTCTCAGACAAGAGCAATGCCTTTCCCATTACCGTCCAGCAGGTTTAAACATAAAAGGAGGCAGGAAATCAGGAGGCGCATGTTAGCACAGGAAGGTGAAGTCTAGGAAGGCTTCTTGGAAGAGGAGTCTGGGACTGGGCCTCCATACTTCAGGAGACTCTGGATAGATGGAATGAAGCTAAGCATGCCAGGTGACATGGGTTTTCTGACCCTCAGGCGCCAAGGAGTCTGCGGGGCCCCACGGGCAGCCTGACCTGGATTGGCCAGTTCCTGTCCTTTGACTATAAATGGGTTTGTTCAGAGGAGTTCAGTTGCCTTTGGATTTCCCAGCAGCCTCTCTGCACCCGATAAGGCTGGGGCCCCAATGATTCCCATCCCAGCCATAAATCACCATAATCCTTGGCATTTTCTGACACCGATATGGCCCCTACATTCAATTAGCAGATTAAAATGTCTCTTCATTTTTGTTTTTGCTAAGTTGATTTGTGTGTGAGCGTGTGTAAAAAGAAGAGGAAGATCCATGGACAGAGTGATCCATCCAAGAGATCTGAGATGGGCTGGCCCCTTATTCCTTCCTTTGGGGCAGTGCCCTGTGCTCTGGGACATGCCTGCCGCTCTGCACAGATTCATGCTCCGTTTCCTTCTCTCTCCCCCACCAGCATTGCTTGCCACACCACTACATCTGTATCTTTCTTTCTTTTTTGAGACAGGCTCTTTCTGAGTTAGTCCAGGTTGGCCTTGAACTTGCAATCCTCCTGCCTTGCCTCCCAAGTGCCGGATTACAGATGTGCGTCACCACACCTGGCACATCTATATCTTTCAAGCCTCCCCCTCCCCCCAACCTCAATCCTGATTCTTTTCCTGGTAGCTATTATCTCTTCTCTGTTCTCTGTCTTGGTGGCTCTGAGAATGGGCCTTTCTTGAGGTGGTAACCCCCCAAACCAGTATCTGATCTTTAGTGACTTCCTGCCAAACCTGCCACTGTTCCCTCCTGCTTCCGTCTGGAACCAAAGCCATCCACACCTCATCTGGCCAGTGTCCTGTCCTCAGATCAGAGGCACCCTAAGTGCCTGGCACATAGTGTATATAGTAGGTGTACACACAGTAAGTAGACTAGTCAGGCCATGGACAGTGAGCTGTGTCCCTGCAGGAGTGGAGCCAGAGAAGCTTGTGTCTCCCCCTCCCTTCCTTGACTGCAACCCAGGGCCCCACTGGGGCCAGTGCCATGGCTAGTAGGCCGGCCCCAGGCCTTCCAGTCTCCATCCCCATGTGCTAGAGGCCGGCAGCCCACCCTCTTTCCTGCAGGCTTCCTGGCCCAAGCCTGGGCTGTTATCTCCAAGAATAACAGCTTCCTACCTCCAGGAAGAAGGACCCGCCAGGGACTAAATAAACACATTTTATGGGGTGATTAATACTAGGACAGATAAACTCCTATCCCAGATTTTTAAGGTCTCCTTGCTCCTCTCAGAAATGTGAACTTGATAGTGGCCCATGCCTGTAGTCCCAGCACTCATGAGGCTGAGGCGGCAGGATTGCAAGTTCGAGGCCAGCCCGGTCTCCATAGTGAGACCCCGTTTCAAAAAGAAAAATAATTAAAAAAATTAACTAACTCGTATAGAGCAACCGTGGTTCTGGCAAAAGGCTGGTGAGCATAGACTCCACTCACAAGGTGCCACTGTACATGCCTCTGAGCCCCCCATGGCTTGGACACTTTTTGATGGAGGGTGGGTAGAGAAAGAATTGAAAACCTAGCCCTGCTTCTCAGAGTTGTTACACTGCGGGGTATGCCCTGTAATTGCTGTGAGGTGACATAAATCCAATTCTGCAATTAAGCATGGCCTGAAGAGTACATCTATAGGGTGTGACTGGGGAGCAATCCAGGAGGACTTCCCATAGGAGATGAATTTCAAATCAGGAACCTAAGAAGGTGAAAAGGCTGGAGCAGTTGAGGGAACACTTTAGCCAGGTTGGGGGGTGTGCCGGGCCACAGAGGTGGGAATGAGCAGCAGTAGGGGATAGGTCCTTGAGGGGAGGGGTGAAGTGGAAAGGCAGTGGGTGACTTGGGGGGTGAGAGGTGTGTGTCCCAGCTGATCCAGACAGAAGGCCAGTGTGGCAAGACCCAGTGTGCATCAGCCATCAGTGTGCTGGTGGCTGAGCCCAGGAGGGCAGCTGGTGGGGTTCCCAGGAACTCACCATCCCCCCAGTGCATAGCTCCCCACTTGCACACTGAGAAGTATGGAGACGCTCAGGTAGCTTTCGGAGGCCAGGCTGTTCCTAGCCAGTTGTCCTGGGTGTCCCAGCCTTGCAGCCCTGCACTGAGAGCCCCTGTTCCCCTGGAGATAAAACCCAGGTCAGGCTTGTCCAGTAGCTTGGCTTGGAGAGTACACACCAGCCCAGGACCACGCTGCCATGTGGGCCCTCGGCTTCCAGGCTGAACCAATATTTACT